CGTTTTAAAAAAAAAAAAATAAACATAGAATAATATGTGTACTAGCCTGAATTATTTAAATTATTCTTGTACTTAAGTTCCAAAAAGGATTGATTAGACTTAATAAGAAAATTGTTAAACAATATATTTGAATCAAAAACTTGTTTAGACAAAAAGAAATTCAACATTCTTTTATCTATCATTTAAGAAAAAAAAACAATAAAAATTCGTTTGAAAACCGAAAATCAACCAAAAAAATTTGTGTTTTAGAGATTTTCCATTATATACCATTTTTCGAAAACGGTTAAAATTGATTGATGATAATTTACTGCATGAAGATCGTCAGTAAATTTTAAAAAATTTAGATGAGAAATCTAGCTAACCTAAAAGAATAATAGTCAAAATATTTTATCTAACTTTTTTTTTCTTAAAAAGATTTATAAATTTAAAGCAAAATGCAGGTGGATTAAGTTGAATCCTTTTAAATTTCAGAGACTAAATTGAAAATAAAAAATAAAACCTTCATATCTGCAAAGTCTGAGCATGGCAGAGACGACAGCAAGAGAGGTGGCATCATCATCCACCAACAATATATGAACATCAACATCCATCACCCTTCCTTCCTCCATATTCCTATTTCTTTCGATCACTGATCACTGATCACAAGATAATATATACTTTTTATTCCATTATATTAATCTTTCCAAGATATATATATAAAACCACCACTATGTGTGTGTGTGTTAATTTTGAAATGAAGAATTACATGTAAAAGAATCCAACACCAAAGTTTACATTTAATGTAACTTTCCAAACATATCACCCTCCCACTTGGAGTTCTACTTAAAGAAGATTCGCAATCTTTTCATTTAATTCCTCAAATTTAAATCCATATCATTCCTCTCAATTTTTCAAATAACCCACCACTTCCCACATGCATGTATCTGCTTATTGCCTTCAATATTACAGCAAAGTACCAACTAATCAACTTCAATGATTTCAATCTTTATCTATTAGGCTGACTTTTTATGTTTGCTAATAATTTAACATAATATAAGAGCGGTACACAATGGAAAAATGAGGAAAATGAAGAAACTCTACCTCAATTTTCAGTTGATTTATTGAAGGATGGATTAATTCCAGATACAGCGATCAAATATTATCTTTACATAAAAATTTTGAATGGTATATATTCTGAGATCAATTTTCAGAAAATATATGATTTGGAAAGGAAAGCAAAGCAACAGCTAAGGTACTACATGAAGTTGTTTCAATTGTTCATATACAACCCACAACACAACACCAATTACAGTGTCTCTAACCAAGCTCTGTACGAGACCGCTAACGAAGCCATTGGAACCCTGATCCCCAGCTTTCTTTCCTGCAAGGTCTCGAAATCGCAAGTTTCCTTGGTCTGATATTATCGCATAAACGACACCGTTCATATGGCCCCTTCCAATCACCCCCACCACTCTTTTACTCTTGTTCACTGCCTTGCTTCGTTTTAGAGACCATGCCAGGTACTGCAAATGCAACTATTATATTAGGCACTTTTTAACAGTGACTGACGAGAAAAAATTGCGATGGTGAATAAAAATACAGAATCAACCATGGATCATAAATTTTCTTCTCACTCACAGATAAGAAGTAATTAAGAGCTGTAAATGCATCATAAGATTTTACACTTACGGTATCTCGTTCATGAATAAGAGGTTGAAGGAGGGATGGATAAGAAAAGCCGAGCTGCTCATAGAGCTGTAAGGAACTACCATTTTCACCTGATTCCTGGAGCAGCTAATTAAAAAAAAAAAAAAAAAAAAAAGGTGAGAAAGGTAAACTTCAAGAAAAATATGATATATAGTATCCTGGTTTTTCAGATGTCAATACACAAGACCGTTAAGAAAAGAAGCTATCATTCAGAAGAAACACAAATGTTCTGAAAACGAAGTAAAAATGTTTAACAAGAACCGCCTATCGATGCAGAGTTTTCTGCTTAGAGTTAGATTTAGACAATTCCTCAGAAATGTTTGCGAGTAGCCAATCTATATAGCTGTTTCGATATGGTATGTCTGTCGGTCACCTCTGACTCGGTTTGAATTCCTCCTCCCTTATTTACTACTCGTTCTTTGTGTGTGAAACAAATTGATACAACATTTCAGGTGAGAGAAGAATAATACCTCATCATTGTTCTGAGAAAAATTAGATTCTGACGTTATTCCACGAACAACTGAGCTTACTAAGCTCAACTTCTCGGTGCATGTCAGCGCGTTCCATGCCCTTTCTAGCTGCATGAATAAAATCATATTGAAGTGACTGAGAGGATTTATATGTTTGTAGTATAGTACTCATCCAAATTGAATTCTGAATAGCCCAAATTCTACTAGTCATCTGCACTTGGCAAAGCAGAAAATTGTCTCGTCTTACAGTTATCTCAATTGGCCGGTCCCCCAAAACTATTTGAGCACTAACTTCTTCAGACGCTTTACGAGCAGCTCGGAACTGCACGATTGATTGAAAGTTTCATAAACTGGTATGTAGAGTACAGTAGTGTATACATCTAGTAATTACTTGATGATTTGAAGAATACTGTTTCTTCGAGTACCTCATCGCCAAAAGGACGGTTAACATCTGAAGAAATTTTTGACGAAAAAACTGCTAAAAGCAGACGTAAAGCAAGAGCAGTTTGGCCTCCTGAAAAGTGAGAAATTTTTAATGCAACTTATATGCCAAAAAACACTTAACAAAATGTTACTACTTACTTACCTAGGTTTATGCTGCGACCAACAGCACCCAAAAAACCATCCCCGCTCAAAGAGAACATGTTGGACTTTAATTTCTGGTCTGGCTCACCAGCATCTGAGGTATACATGATACCAGCTCTGGAACAAATGTCTGCAACAATTTTAAGATGTTGATTTTTTTTAAAAGAAAAACAATAACTCAACAGGTCAGAATTTCTAACTTCCAGTTCAGTAAGAAATAGTATTTTAGACAACTTATAACTTAGGCAACTTAGTTTCCATTTCGTTTTTCACCTATTTAAAAACATATTTGACTTCTTTGCCGAATTTAAAAAACAAAAACAAAAACTACTTTTTCAGTTTTCAAAACTTGGATTAGATTTTTAAAACGTTTAAAAAATAAGATGATAAAAAGAAAAAGATGTAAATAGAAGTAGCTTAAGGTGTGTTTGGTATGCAATCAAGATTTTGTTTCTTGTTTTCAGATTCATTGAATCTGTAAATAAGTGGATTGAGTAAATAGCTGTTTGACAAATTTGTTTTTATCCGTATTAATATTCATGGAATTTCATCTCAAAACTAATTGACAATGAGAAGGGTAGTCTACTTATATTATAAATCCTCGTTAGGTCCCTTATCTGTTACAAGGTGAGATCCTTAACACATATATGTTAATAAATTAAAAAATATTATCTTAGATTTAATTAAATATTTAATTAGCAACTACCATTAGTTTACAAATATACTTACTAAATAACTTGAATAGTTTTTTTAAATTAAGATTCAATTTCTAAATCTAGTACCAAATAGATATCTGAAAACAACTCTTTTTAATTCCTTGTTTTTAAATGAAACACATCATTAATTTTCAAAAACAACAAAATGGTGATTAGTGGCGCTTGGCTGCTAACATCTAGTTATTTTATAAGATCCCTTGAAGAAGAAAGATAATTACTCATTAGTCATTACCTTTAATTCATCCTACTTTGTAGATGTTTTGAAAGAGATGTGATGCTTATGTCTTAATCTTACCTGAATTGTTAACTTTGGCTGACACAAGGAGGCAGTCTAGTCTTTTTCCTTTCTATCCCCCTCCCCACCACTCAATACAAAGAGGCAGAGAGGGCAAATGGGACATTCACAATTTAAGCTCTTCCCCAATTCCTCCTAGTCTTTCTAGAGTTCATCACAAGATTGGTGGTGGATTCATGGGAATAAATCAAAATCCTAATCAGAACTGTGGGACATTCTTAAAGTTTTTGAGCTCTTGAATCACAGGCAAGGTGTAGGAGATAAGACCAGTACTTGTGGAGTCGGTCAATTCAGAACAATATAGTCTACTGCTTAATTTGCATACTTTCAAAGAGAATTTTACTATATTTGAATGAATAACAAAAGCCCCCAAATTCAAATTAAAATTGAAACTTGCCTGCTCCTGCAGAGCTCGACCACCACATTATCAGGCTTCACAGCTCGAACAACTCGCTGGACATCCTGAACCGATTTGGGAGAAATATGCGAAGTTCCGACCAACCAAATCGCTTCCGGCTCTACAAATTCGGCCCTCCAGGCCGGGACGGGGCCAAATCGTCTCTTCTCGAGCAAAACCAAGGTGCC